AGCCATGCCACGCAGGGTTTCTGGAGGGTATTGGAGTTCATTCCACATAAACCCACACGCTAACCCTAAGCAGTGTTCCACCCTATGTAGCATCTGCACTTCAAACCGAAAGTTTATCCCAAGTTGTTCGCCTAACACCCACTCGATAATGTCTGTCTCTCTTCTTTCTTTCTGCAGGGCTTATGGGTCTCTCTCTCTCTCTCTCTCTCTCTCTCTCTCTCTCTCTCTCTCTATAACACATTGACTCAAAGCTACTAGTAGCTGAATGACTGGATGCCTTCAGTTCGCAATATGAAGTCACGAAAACTTCCAAACCGAGATCAACCTGAACCCTTGGCCCGCGCAGAGTCAGTGCGCAAGGAGCCTTTGTGCAGACTGCAAGAACTTCCGCACCAGTGGCACACACGCCTTGGCGATTCGATGATTTTTCTGGTGTTGCCATCCATGTCATAAGCTCTGACTGACGTCACCATGCGTGCATCTTCTGGTTGTTTCTGGCTGTAGAGACGGTAGTAGGAACAGCTAACGTAGGAAGTGGCAGAGGCAGCGACCGGACCAGCACGAGCAGCGCTGGCACCGGCAATATACAGCAAGAGCATCAGCGGTGCGAGAATCACAGATATCGTCGCTAGCATCATCATTGTCATCAGCGTCATTCCCAGCAACATCATCATCATCATCATCATCATCATCATCAACACCATCCTCATCGACATCAACATCATCTTCACCATCATCATCATCAACATCAACGTCATCATCATCATCATCGTCATTCACATCAATGTCATCATCCTCACTGAGGCGCTCCTCCTCGCCATCATCGTACTGATCGTCATCGTCAGCACCGCCACCGCCCCTTCGGGACTTTGATACGCTTGTAGGCTTCAGGTGCACAAGAAAGCCCATTGCGCTTCTTCAACCCCAAAGCTTCACCGTATCTTGGCCGGATTGAAGAAGCAACTGCTTTTGCTACCACAAGCAAACACTGCAGACCAAAGCTTGGAGCTTGCTGCCGCAGAATCTTTCGATTCTGTGGCAAAGCACGGGCTGCTTGGGACCCAAGCCCAGAATCTTCAAAACAACCGCACACCAAAAGAGCTACGCCCTTCACACCCTGCTGGAATACCGTGCATGGGCCTTAGACTCTGCGGCCTTTGGTGGGTCTCGGACCGTGGTGCGCGCGCGGAAGGAGCCCACCACAGGCACAGAGGGGTCTGGGTCGACAAGGCGAGGTTTGTGGCAAAAGCTTGAAGCGACGTTCACCGAATAGTATCTGGTGTGTCCTCCGAGTCATCCATCTACAATATCAGACCTTGTCAGAGTTTCATTTGTGCCCGTCTTCACTCCGCGTTTACGGAAATGGCGGGCGTCGAGAGGGGCGTTAAGGAAAACCTCATCGGATGAGTTTCTGAAACTGCAAGGCATTCGTGCCTCTTTCTCCTGGCACACTCGACTTGGGAGGACCGCAAACCCTGAAGGACCGCAAAGGATGCGCGTCACGGTGTTGGCATATATGTGCCGATCAAACTGGTCCACACCGAAAAAACAGCTGGCAGATGATATCTCCGGACGAGCCACACGCAGTCTAATTAGCCGGAAAGAACAACAAACCCTATATCCACGACGACCCTTTATCACATGGACAAAGCCGGAAAAAATAATGTAGAACACAAGCGCACTACTTACTCTCCGTCGACACCGTGAACCACAATCTTGGGACAATGAGCAAACGAGAGATTGCTGAAAGGCTGGCACAGATATTTCTCAGGACCTAGAGGCCCAGGGCTTGGGGCCCAGGGATCGCTGCCAACAGAGTGCTTACTCAGCAAATCACAATCGCACACCTCAAGCCTCAAACTCTTCCTGAGAACATGGATTCAGCGAAGCCTGTGAACCTGGACCACAAGGTGAAAGCCCTTCAGGCCTTCCCCCACTGCGCCAGCCGGCGCGAACACGTCCCCGGCTCGCAGCACCTTCCACTCTCGCGCTCACAAGTTCTGAGGACGGTATGTGCAGTTCTCGAGCCAAAAGATTTGCAAACCGTACACTGACATGCACACGCATGCATGTGCATGCATGCATGCATACATGTCGTCTGCGAGTGCATGTGCAGACATGCATGCACGCATAGAGGTATGCATTCACATAGGCACAAGGTTCTCATTCGTGTAACATCGGCCTGCCCACTTGGCACGGCGCCCTCGGGGCGCATTATGAGGCCTCATGGAGCTGAGGGGATTGGGATGCAGGATTTTGGGGCTTCCGGGCTTGGGGTCTTGAAGTTGTAGGCCCAGGAATAATGGCCAGGATAGGAGCTGGAAAGGTCGGTAAAATGTTTGCTTGTGGCTACCAGCAAGTCATCGCCGCCAGCATCGCGCATTTCTGGAAAGAAACCCGGGCTTCAAGTAGCTGAGATCGGCTGGGAAGTTCGAAGTTGAGGGAAGTTCGGGTTGAGGAGTCTAGCATTTGGGGTGTTGGCTTAGGGCTTAGGAGCCATCTGCCCTGAGGCTCTCAGCCCTGCACCCTTCCTCCCAGCCTGGAAACACGAACTTTTAGACTCAACAAGCCACGAATGATCTTCGGGCCCAGGCGTTCCGCTTGGCACGGGAAGGTCTCTCCTTGTCGGGACGCAGCGGATCCCACTTCCCCGGAAACACCAACATGCCTTCCTTCATGGCCCTTCGGGTTTGGGGTTTAGGGTTCAGCTGCGCCCCATTCGTTATTATTTGATTCGACATCGTCTGAGGAGTGCTCAGGGATACGATTTCGGGATGCTGGGGCTGAGAGCTGAGGCTCTGATCATTCGGTCATGCCCCCCCCCCCCCCAACCCTAGCTTAAACACCACCCTAAACCCCAAACCCGAAGCTTATAGTAGGCAATCAACGCAAATGCACATGTCTTCTATCCGGTCTGACCGGCTATGGGCTATGGAGCTGGATAAACGTCCACGTCATGAGGACGACAAAGGCCTCAGTTCTGGGTTGTGCAGGAGCCGTGAGGCTTCCATGTCTGGTCCGTCAAGTTCAAAGCCGCTACCTTGGGCTTTCGGGATTCTACGATGACTCCGGCGGATCTCTGGGAGCTGGGGAGTTTTCGGGTGTTCGGCAGAGCTTAGGTCGTTTGCCTCTGAAAGCTCCGAGCCGCTAGCCTTCCCGGAGCTTGAAGAGGTCACCCTCCACGACCTTCGGCCGCATGTCTTGCACGCATCACTCAGAAAAAAGTCGTTTTCGGGAATCGACCCAGCTATCAAGCTCAACTGGCGTCTCGCTCCTGCCGGCAGAACTGGTAGCAAGTCGCTGTCAACACCGTCTCACCATTTTGCCAAAACCCCGTGCATCTTGTGTGCTTCTGACAATGCTGCCCAGCAGCCATGTTGTACGGAAGGTGGCGCCAGACACGGTCGCGCAAGACCTGGAGAGTTTGTAGAAATCGGCTTGGTTCAGGGAGTCCTTGAGCCCCCCGGAAATTGAAACCCTGAACTGCCGAAGCACCTCAGCCTCGGTAAGCGCACAGGCCGGACAAGGTTCCGTGCACCTTTGGGCCCCGTGCGCTCACACACACAGCGCTCGGCGGCACGGCCTGCACTGAAGGTCTCTGCAACTCGAGGAAATACTCACCAGTTTAGCAGCTTCTCTGCAGACAGAAGCACGCCTCCATCGGCATCGGGTTGTACGGAGCCGCGCCCTGCGCTCACCAAGCAGTGCAGCCCTTAGGCACCATTCACCTCAATACCAAACAACTGCTTCATTTTTCGTCTGCAGCGCCTGAAAGATAAACCACGACAAACAAAAAACTCCCAGAAGCCACTGAAGCCGGACTCCGAAAGTTCACCTTGACAGGACGTCTCAAACCAAATCAAACGTCACAGACTTCATCTCAGCATGTATAAGCAGCGTCAGTGCCAGCATCCCCTCCCGACCGTCTGCGTGAAGGCATCGTCGCTGGTGACGAAGCGTTGGACGCAGTCTTGCACCTCCAAGTTGGCAGGATCGCGGCATTTTGAGTGTGCAGAGGACGGGCCGTGACGCACGACAGGTTCGTTCATGGAGTCATGTCTGTGGTTGACTGGTTGACAGAACAGTCACTATGAGTCTGGTGAAAGCGCTGACATTCTGCTGCAGTTTGCATCTCTCTCGCCTGCATGCCCAGTCAGCCTTACGTCTCCGAGTCACGACCTGTCAACCCTGCATTTTGCCACTGCTCTCTGGTCTTCAGACTGTTCAGGGGCGGATGCATTGCAGGCTGCTCTGTCTCGGCAACTTGGACCTCCGCGAAAATCGGGGTATGGCAGCAGCAGATTTGTTGGTGAATGTCGGCTGTTGGTTCAGAAAAACAAACTCCATGGTCCGGGCCCCCATCCACAGACGGGCTCGCAGCTTCTGGGCTTTCCTTTCGGCCCACGCATTCGTCGATCGCGACGCTTGAAAATTGGAACTTGCCCCAGCGGGGCGGCACCGACAAGGCCGCAGGTGCTCAAGCTTGCGG